TAGCTGGCTCCTTTTAACGTGCAAATCTTTTAATTCGGGTCCTGCAACTTGCAAAGAATCCCACTTGGGATTTTACTTAAAAATGAATTGCTGTGTTGTTTTACACCATCAACCCTTTCCCCCTGCCCATCCCCATCTCCTCCCTACATCAAAATGTTCCAGTTACTCAAAACAAAACTAGTTATAAAACAGGGCACTACAGATCTATTACATCCATTTTCGTATACCCCAAAAGATCAATTTCACCCCATTATAATTTCAGTGTTCACTAACTTACAATATCTACTATTTATTTTGTCAACACTGATATTCTGCAACACACTCTTTGGTCCATTGCAAATATATTTGTTAGAATATGTGAAAATTTCCAAGGTTGAAACAAAACCATGCATCAAAATATCCCAGAAAGTAAATATGTTGCATTATAAGATACTGGGATCATTATATCAAAATAATATCTCAGAATTAACTGTATCTGAATGAAAAAGAAGTGACATGACAAAATTCCATGTGAAGTAAATTTATTCTAAGTGATTTATTTTGTTCCATCAACAGATAACAAGTACGCCCCAGCAGTGACTCTCAACGGTTTTGTCTTTATACTCGGAGGTGCCTATGCCAGAGCTACTACTATCTACGATCCTGACAAAGGCAATATCAAAGCAGGGTCAAACATGAACCACTCGAGGCAATTCTGCAGGTATGAATAATCAGACAAAGCAGCACTATTTTACTGCTTAGCTATGCAAAGCTATTCAACTGGAAATTTGAAAATTCTGCTCTGCCGCTTTAAGCACAGTGTATTCTCCTCAGTGCTTTAGTATAAGTATTTGTAGTCAAACCCGCAAAAGTTTTCACTTTGAACCTATCAAAATTCTGCACCACAATTAAACTTTCAACTCAAGCTCAAATCAACGGGAAATGATTGGCTAAGTATTAGAAATCTTTGGCTGATTTCAAATAACTTCTAGCACCCGGTCTTAACTTTGCTCCCAAAACTCACTGCCCTCAAAAACTCCAATTACATTGATCCTCAGGAAGACTGAAGAACTGACACTATTGACTTTTTTCACTGCGAAAATATACTTTATTCATAAAAAGTCTTTATTTACATAGTTGCTGAAGCAGTTCTGTATAGGCTTTGCACGTGAATAACAAATAAACATTGGAATTTGGCAGTTCCAGAAATCCCAAGCCATTTCTTACTTACATAGGGTTATATTTATATATATTTGAGGCACTGTTCTATCTGATATCTGAACAGACCCCCGCCCCCACATTGGACTTTGACAGAAGGACCTTAAACGGTCATCCACAATTGATTTTTTTTATTTCAAGATATACTTTATTCATAAAAAATACCTTTATGTACACATAGTCACAAATGCAGTTCAGTTCTGTGCAGTAGCATATCAAGGAAACAAGCAAATGTTGGAGTTTGACTCTATCCAACAAACAAACCAAAGGCATCTCTTCCTTGAACAAGACTATATTTATCTGCACTTGCGGCATCAGGAGGGTCCAGTAACTGAACGGACATCCATTTACCTTCAGCAGGAAGATCTCAGCGGCTGCCCCAAGCTTTAGTGTGCCCGTCAGTACATAGTCCTGGGCCTTGGAATGTGCCAGTCTACAACACTCGGTTAAAGTCAACTCCTGTTCTATAAAATCAACACCAATTGATAGAACCAAAACCTTCATCCGGGGGAGAATTAAAAGACGAACATTATCCAGTTGCAACCTTCAGACATCAGTCTGCTCCCACATTAAGATGAGGCTGACAATAGCTAAGTGCCTTTCATAAAGGGAATTTTTCAGGGCTTAATACCCAAATATCATCTGCACAGACAAATGGGTGCTAATACGATGTTTACATTAACATCTGAATTTCCAGCATGACGTTTCAGATGATTTCTTTTGAAGATTGAGAGCTAAAGTAAATTGTATGCAAATTAGTATCAGACATGTGTATTGAGATTTCCTTCTCTAGTATCCAGTTTGGATCAGAGACAAATTGCTCCACCAAAAAAAAATACTAGCACTATGGATTCCAGAGCTCCATTTAGGGGAAATCTGCCTTCAAGAGATGGATTATTCTCATCAAGAAAGGTATTCAGTTTTCTTTGAAAGGTCAAAAATATTTTTTAATCAACAGAAATTGTAGAAAGCTCAATCTCTGTTTCACTCACTAATGGTGGGATTCCCTCCTTTTCATAAAATGGAATAAACCATGAGCAAAACCACTTTTACAGTCGCTGAAGATATTTCATCTGCCTTTCTCCAGAGCTGTCATCAACTGCGTTTTTAACAGAGGGCAGGACAACTCCTCCCATCATTCATTACAATTGCTCAATCCCATATCCAATATCTCAGTCAAACTTCACTATCCTCCAAACTCAGACCTGCTAAATACAGATCCCTAATATAAATATAATTCCCTAAAATAAATAGAAAAGTGATGCATCATTACAGTGAATCCCTTGGGTCCACATTTTTTTTTTCTATGATAGTCGCATCTCGTCAACAGGGGACTGGGAAATAAGAGTGGGTCATCCCTTGGGAGCCTGATGTTGGGAATGAGATGTTCCTTGAGACATTGCTCATGAGTAGTTTGGAGTATGTTTACGTGTAGGACCTCTGTTTGACTTTATGCTGCAGCTGTGTTTCTCTTTTAACATTTTGTCACTATTTCTGAGGTACTTTGTTTGAGTGTGAGCTCAGTGGAATTTGGGAATATCAGGTCTAAGCCAAGGTCAAGATTCAGTTTCATAATAACTTGCAGTGAAAGGGCCCTTCAGTCAATTCGATGACATCCTTCTAGGATACAAACCTACTTTTATCCCAGCACAATTTTTAGAACGTTAACAGCATTCAGACACTGTAGCACCTGCAGTGAAACATGAGCCCACAAACTAACAGCATTTTGACCTAGAATGAGAACACAAAGAATTGAGATAAGCGAATACAAACATATGGAAGTCTTGCAAAGTTCCTCTGTCACTCTGACCAAAGTGTCCCCGCATACAAACAGACAAGTTTGGATCAGGAGTAGGCCACTCAGTCATAGAGTCAGACAGCATGGAAACAAACCCTTCTGTCCAACCAGTCCATGCTGAACATAATTCCAAACTAAACTAGCCCCACCTGCCTGCTTCTGGCCCACATCCATCCAAACCTTTCCTATTCGTATATCTATCCAAATGTCTTTTAAATGTTGTAATTGTACCCACTTCAAACCCGCTGCATCATTTGATTAAAAAAATGCCTGATCTGACTGTGGTCACAACTTTACTTCTCAGGGAAGTCTGGTTTTTACAGTTACAACAAACTATTTCAGAAACCTCTGATCTTTAATGCATTTTTTTTTCATGTTCAACATTGCAGCCTTTGCAACATTGTGCTTTCTTTTTATCCTCTAATTGTCACTTTTTTCATCAGTAGTTACACTTCTTCATTTGTATTTCTAGTACATACTGTACACCTTGCCTCCTCTTCATTTAGTTTTCTTCGACTTTGGCCACAGGTCTGTGTTACACAATCTTTGCCATCTGAACAAAATTGCTGCCCTTTCCTCCAACAATCTCTGGTGGCTGCAGGACTACCATTTAGTGGATTGCTTTGGAGCTGTCAGAAATAAGCAATCACAAGAGAGCATAGAACCGTTAGTGAAGGGGCAGCAGGATAGGGAGAAGTTAGAACCAGCATCTGTGAGCCTTCGATCCAGGGCACCCCTTTGTCTCTTAAATGATGAGCTCCAGTTCCTCAACATTACGTTGCAGTGGGCCCCTGCAGCAAAGCATCATAAACAAGACAGCACTGTCTGCCAGCAAGGTTGAGTGTTTCTTGCTTCAAGGCTGTTAATTTTTCATGAGGAGGAGAGAGATATCAGTGCAA